GGAGAGAGTCCAGCGGAGGGCTACCAAGATGATGAGGGGCCTGGAGCATCTCTCCTATGAAGAAAGGCTGCGAGAGCTGGGACTGTTCAGCCTGGAGAAGAGAAGACTGACAGGGGATCTGATCAACATGTATAAGTATCTGAAGGGAGGGTGTCAAGAGGATGAGGCCAGTCTCTTCTCCGTGGTGCCCAGCAACAGGACAAGAGGCAATGGGCAGAAACTGAACCACAGGAAGTTCCACCTAAACCTGAGAAAAAACTTCTTCACTGTGAGGGTGACAGAGCATTGGAACAGGTTGCCCAGAGAGGTGGTGGAGTCTCCTTCGCTGGAGATATTCAAAACCCGTCTGGATGTGATCCTGGGCAATATACTCTAGAGGTCCTTGCTTGAGCAGGGAGGTTGGACTAGATGATCTCCAGAGGTCCCTTCCAAGCTCAACCATTCTGTGATTCTGTGATTCTGTTGTGTGAAATGCTTTTTTTGTTTTGCTTTTTAAGGAGGAGACAAACACATCCCCAAAATACCTTTAAATCCTAAACGTTTCTATCAACAACACAGGTCAAAGACCACCACACAGAACTGTACCAATGACACAGCTGCTCACAGCAGGTTCCCGAGGAAACAGGCAGTTTTTGAACAGCTGGATGAAATGACAGAGTGTGACTACACTGAGAGTTAAGGAGACCTGTTTCTAATGTATTTAAACTCAACCTCTTCCTCTTCCGGCATTACAGCTCTTGTCTTTTGCATTTTCTTTTACACAGTCCTTAACAAGGTAGTTGATTCATTGCTGAACCCAAGTGTCTCAGTTGGCAGAACTGCAACTTTTCAGTGTCTACATGTTCCAAGCGCATTTCAGCTGTGTCTATACTAGTCAACTAAACAGGGTGCATGCTTAAACCTTCTTTTCCACTGTTCAGTTTGGTTTGGGCTTGTTATGAGTTTAAAAAGGTCACAAAGTAACATGGTAGTATGTCAGATACTACTAGTCTCCTACATGAAACACAGAGAACTCTGTTCATACATTTATGCTGTGCCGTATCTGACAAATATAAAACTTGAATTGTCACTATTGATTACAAGAAATTGCAGTACTACATAGCACTGAAGATGTGGAAAGTTTCAGTCTTATCATCAGTATGAATCATTAAGGGTGGTGTTAGGAAGTCCTCTTTGGCATTCTGGATTACTCTGTATTTAATGTACTCTCTTCTACATTATGGCTAAATAATCTTCTTAATGATTCTGGTAAAATCTCTGTTTTTATCCCATCTTTTACCAATTGTTCCCCATCTTTGTTGCTTGTTCCTATAATATACCCTATTACAATTATTATTTTAATTATTTTATATACTATATTATATTATATTGTATTATATTACAATACACGGTATTATGAGTTAGTAACCGGATTTCTCTGCACCTTTTTGTAGGTCATTATTTTCTCCTAATATAACCAATAAAATGAGCCTAATGAGATTTTGAGTTTTAAATGCATATTCACTAGTTGCCAATCCCTATTTTATCTTTAGTCCTAAAGAAAACAATCATTTATCACTCTTCTCACTCCTTCTCCTACGTAAATTTTCCAGTTTCACTTAGTTAGACCTGCAATGCTTTTAGATACTAAGACCATTTTGGAACGGCTAATGTGACCTCAGTTGATGGAATTCTTTCTTTTGATCCCACACTAATGTTACACTAATTGGAAACATTTCCTGGGTTCATATACATCATATACACACAGTATTTTCTTGCCATTCTGTTTTTTAACCTTCTTCTTGTTTCTGTTGTTGCTATTGAGCAACAAGGCCTTTCCAATCTCGCCAGTCAATCCATGAGCATGTTCTAGTCGTGGGAGCAAGAACAGAGGAACAGCAGGATTCCTCCCACCCTTTTCCCTTCAGTGAGGGCAGGGATTCCTGAAGCAGAATATTAGTGCTCACTGGGAATGACTAAGGGAAGGAGTTACCCATCAAACAATAATATCAATTTGGTCACCAAGAGAGCTAACAGCAGCAGCACCAAGCAAGGAGCAAGGCAGAGAGGTTTTAAGAGGTAGTCTGGAACTGAATCAACCAAATGAGACCAAACTTCACCCAGCTCACTGCTCTCAGTATCTCTGGGCTCTGACCATGGCCTTTCTCTTTTCACAGTTCATCTTACCCAAATACTTAAAACTCTGGTGCTACTGTGAACTCAGGTTTTCCTGCATGTTAGCTTCTACCAGCACTGAAATTCAGACTTTAGTATCTATTCCAATACAATTCCACTTGCACTCAAAATTCAGAAATAAACAGTTGTTGCAATAGCAGAAATATTTCAAACTAATCATTTATGCCTACATTATTTTTTCCTCTCATGTCTCCTTAGTCGTTAACATGCTTATACAGAATCTAAACATATTGCTTGCTGTCCTTATGTCTGTTCTGAAAGCATACT